TTTCATAGAAAATGTCTAAGCACAGCCCTACACTCCTGAAATAATGTCATCTTGTCTTGCAAGGTTTTTCCAGATGAGTTCCACCTTCAAACCCTGAACCCCTTCCTGCGTTCCTGTGCAGAGCTGCATCAGCATGTCAATGTCAAGAACATCATCATTGCCCTTATCGACAGGTACAGTCTAACTCACTGTAAATTCGCTGAGCTAATTGAATCTGCTTGCCGATTTTAGTATCATTTGGTCCAACCCAGTGACCCACCATAAAAATCTGTGGTGGTTTGCTCACATTCACTTGTCTTGAAGCCCCTTCACAAATGCATTCAAGTCCTCATGTACAGTCCCCTGCTACTGTTGATGCTCTCAGCTTTCTTTCATAATCCATACTGTCCACATCACTGGCCACTGTTCCAAGGCACGTCACAGATTTTTCACAGATTTGTGGGTGGTCAAGGCCCGTTTTCAGTAAATTTAATGACAGGATCACATGTCCCCAGTGTCTCTTGGTTTTTGACCTTGAAATACTGCTGCGATGGTTAATTTCACCATGACTAGATAACTCGTGGTTTTAGCCCTGTTCAGCACAAACTGCTTTGGTGTCCAAAGCTCTGAGAACCACAGACCTGCTGCTGTCCCCTCCCCCTTAAGGAAAAACACCCTTTCTGTGTCTGTGGGACTGACAAAATATCATGGCAGCAGACGGCGGGACTTTGTATCGCTTCTGACTTTCTATCTAATATATTTAGTTTGTCAGGCGACATTATAAAACCAGCAGCTTAGCATCAGTTTCAGATTGTGTCATGGCTCTCAAGTACTGGATGATTAACATGTAGTCTTGGAGGCTGTGTTTCTGTCACCGTTTCATACTCCTTCGTTTCCTATTGTCGTGGTGACATTGCCGTCAAAAATAAGTAATCAGCTGGGTGTTAAGTTTCTCAGATGCGGTGAGTGCATGAGGACACTTGTGTTCACTCTTGTAACCAACAGCAGAACATGTGGAAGACTTTGCTCATGGCTGAGACGTTTAACAAATTCAACTTGACAAAGTAAACAAACCTCATTATGCAGCTGCTCATTTTGAATGCTTCCCCTGGAAACAGGGAGGGGGTTGGATAATACAAAGTTTGAGCGACAGCACTATTGGTTGGTTTGTTGTAAGGTAGCATCTGGGTCAAATTCTGACAGGCTTGTAAAGCTGGGAGCCTATTTAGTTTTGGAAGGACTTAAGCCGGAACATTTCTTCTTTTTTTTTTTATCTCAAGAACCACAAAAAACAAGGAAAAAAAAAAAAGAATTTGTCACAAGACTTTTAAGTTAGTGGTTTGTTGCTTTTTTTTATGAATGCACTCTCAGTAGATTTCACCAATTTCTGTTTTGCTTTTCAGACTTGCTCTGTTTGCTCATAGAGAAGATGGTCCAGGCATTCCAGCTGAGATCAAATTGTTTGACATCTTCTCTCAGCAAGTGGCCACTGTCATTCAAGTAGGTTATATTAAGTTTGCCCAGTCTGTAAGATATTTGAATCTGTATCTACACACAAAAAATACTGTTTAAAGTCTTGTTCAGAAGGTCAGTTGATTTTTAAAAGGATGTTGTTATTGGCCATACAGTTTTTTTCTCCACCTGGACCACATTGTGGGGACCCCTGACTCAATTTTCTGTAAAAGTCAGAGCAGCTACCTGACTGGACTGTTAGCCATTTTGAACATTCACTCTAAATTCTGAGTAGAACCTGTCTTATTACAAACAAAATTATGGAGTAGATATATTGATAGTGTAATTATCAGGAGATTAGAAATTCTCGTTGTCTTTCAAGAACTCTTAAAGTAAAAAATACTTGAAATTTACTGTGGAGCATAGCACTGTCCAGAATATCACTATTTACAGAAAATAAGTGGGCATACACACACATGTCTACAGGAAACTAGCAGCAAAAAAGGATTTTGTTCAAAATCTCTTAAATATTTCTACAAAGTACAAACAGAGCAGAGCAACATTTCAAGTTCATAGCTAATTATCAGGTCATCTTATTCCTGTAACAACAAAAGAGGTCAAGGGACAAAGATAATAGAAACTTAACATAATCAATTCATACTTTCTGCGAATAGGTCTGTAAAGCTATGTGTTATGTAAATATTGCCATCTATCCAAATCCACATGGATGGACCCTTCTACGGACATTGTCGTGCAGCATTATATTTGTGACAGCACTTCTGTCTCCACTGCAAGCACACAGGCTGCACATGTGCACGGAAGACAAATGGTGCTCAAAACAAATGCTTGTTTAGAGGAGAGACTACACAGTGGTATTCTGTCATCCACATCTTTATAGTTCAACATTCACAGACTTGTAACTAAATTAGTCGCTACGGCAGCTTTGATTTGTACGTGCTTTCCATCGACGTAGCCCAAACACACAAGGAAGTTCTAAATTGTCCAGAAATCCTGTGCTATGTTTGCCCACTGTGCTCGGCACACCTTAGGAGTAACCGCTGGCACAGTGCTACATCTCAGTCTGTAAGTAACTAGAAGTTATTCATGCTAATGCCATTTTTTTGATTTGTAACACATTTTTATTCGGCAAAGAGCTTTTTTCTGGGTGTAAATGACATAAGCAAGTGGTAAGCGATGGCAAGACATACTTTTTTATTTTACATTTTTGGTACCGTGTGAAAAAATTTCCACACAAGATAAAACCACTGAATATTTTTAGTGAGGCAGCCTAAATATCCAGAAGAGATATCATGAGGTATTATGTCTAATTAACCTACAATGTGTTTGCATTTTTCTGCCTTTGTGTTGCAAGTCAAAAGAGAATAGAAATCCTTAGGAAATCAGACAGACAATCAAATCATTATTTTTTCTAAATGTTCAACTTTGATGTCAACTTTTAACAGTACAATAATCTCAGGAAATTACCAGGAAACTAACTGTCTTACAAGGGTATTCCTCCTAAGTTTGTGTGACTGCAAACCAATATGGACTGACCATGACCTGATGTTTTGATTTTGTCATTTTTCTTGTCAGTCTCGGCAGGACATGCCATCAGAAGACGTGGTTTCTCTTCAGGTCTCTCTCATCAATTTGGCCATGAAATGCTACCCTGAACGTGTGGATTATGTAGACAAGGTCCTGGAGAGCACTGTGGAGATATTCAACAAGCTCAACTTGGAACAGTAAGTCCCCCAAACACAGAAAAATGGACTGAATTTGGTCTGTGTTGTCCAGATTCAGCAGTTATGTGAAGCCCTGAGGGTGATACTACGAAGCAAGTTTGACATAGCCAGGCTGTCTTTGTGTAAGTCGGCTCGACAAAAGCTAAAGCCCCAGCCAGAGATTACGGGTATCACAACGGTGGTTATCGTCTTTCTTTGTCAACTCAAACTTTCTGCTTCAAACTCTGTGTTGTGTTCACATAAAAGGGGTGTTTTTAAACACATCACGTGACCCTGTCGGAGCGCTCCCCCGGGGTGAAAGTATCCCCCCGTGACCATTCCAAATATTCAGATATTCATCATTAATTGGGCCTGAACAGACCAGAAAGTGCTATTTGGACCAGCCCTACTAGTTATTATAACAACTATGAACAATAATTAAAAACAAATTACTCTTCAAGCATCAAGCCCTCCTTGTATCTGGACCTCCGTCTTGACAATCTGACAGCCTTGCTGTCCGACATAAAAGAAGGTTTTATATTTAGTATCAGATTATCGAGTCACGACTGTTACGCAATTTTGGGAAGGTGATGCAATTGTGAATCATTTCAAATATAAGTCTACATTTAAGGTGTATTTACTTCTGTTATAAGCTGTATATATGTAATTTGGCCTTTGTTTTACTGTAATCTCTCAATGTTTTTCATCACAAATACAGTCAAACAAGCTAGAACAAAGATAGAAATTGGCATTTGAATATATTCTTCACCTCGCTTGCTTTCACAGTTGTGTATCAAAATTTGGCCCTCTCTATTCTCTTTCCTTGAATAGCATAGCAACCAGCAGTGCTGTGTCGAAGGAACTTACCCGACTGTTGAAGATCCCAGTGGATACCTACAACAATGTCCTGATGGTGTTGCAGCTCAAGCATTTCCCACCGCTCTTTGAATACTTTGACTACGAGTCACGTAAGAGCATGAGTTGCTATGTGCTGAGCAACACGCTGGATTACAACACCACTATTTTGGCCCAAGAACAGGTTGGATTTCTTGCTACCTTTTGACGCAAACATGTTAACATTTCCATGTTGAACTCGTGTACCTATATTCTTTGTAACGATGAAATATTTCACCCACTGTACTAGGGTGCCACATTGCGCTGTTTTAATAGTTTCTAGACAACAATAGGGCTTTATGACACAAAAGAATAAGCTTATTCAGGCTACAGTACTTGTTATTATCATCAGTTTGTTGTCAGTTTCTGTCTTTTCATGTGATTCCTTGACAATAATTCTTGAACCGCTTGTTTCTCTAGGTGGATGCCATCTTGAACTTGGTATCCATACTAATCCAGGATCAGCCAGACCAACCAGCTGATGACCCAGACCCAGAGGACTTTGCTGAGGAGCAAAGCCTTGTGGGCCGTTTCATCCATCTGCTCCACTCTGAAGATCCTGATCAACAGTATCTTGTGGGTCCTTTACTCGACATAAAAAAAATCATACAAGCGATTTTTCACATTTATCTCATGTAGTAAAGACAATACACACTGCTGCTAAGTGTTTAGGATATCATGCTGCAGTGTTTCCTTTTTTCCCAGCATGGAAAAATCTTATGAACATGTGAACTGATTTAAAACTATATCCTTGTTTAAATGACTTTCTTGTTGCATACTGTGACTTTGTGATTCATAAGACACAATGTTCTTGCTGTGGTCTTAGTTGTTAACTGAAATTATCGTTCTGATTTGGGGTCAGATTCTTAATACAGCCCGGAAACACTTTGGTGCTGGTGGAAATCAAAGGATTCGTTACACACTGCCTCCTTTGGTGTTCGCTGCTTACCAATTAGCCTTCAGGTACAAGGAGAACTCTTCAGCGGTAAGCAAACATTTATTTTTTCGCTAGATTTCTCATACTGCACTGTATGTCTTATCACTGAACCATCCCAAACTTGCCTCCATTAGGATGACAAATGGGAAAAGAAGTGCCAGAAGATCTTTTCCTTCGCCCACCAGACCATCAGTGCACTTATCAAGGCTGAGCTTGCTGAGCTGCCGCTTCGACTCTTCCTGCAGGGGGCGCTGGCTGCAGGCGAGATTGGCTTTGAGAACCACGAGACTGTAGCGTATGAGTTCATGTCACAGGTAGATTGTTCAATAAGACAGTCATGAGCAATCAAGCTTTCTCCGTGTCCACACAGTTTATTGTGAAAACAGCACTTGTTTGATCCAGGCCAAATGAACCAAAGTACAGATGTGAAAGTGACCCAAGTTAAGATTGATAACCCTGTGGACAACTGTCCTGAAGCATGTCTGGATTTGTCTGCCACCACCCTTACCTTTCTCATTTCCTCTCTTCAATACATCCATCATGTCAGGCCTTCTCCCTGTATGAGGATGAGATCAGCGACTCAAAAGCCCAGTTGGCAGCCATCACGCTGATCATCGGGACTTTCGAGCGAATGCGATGTTTCAGCGAGGAAAACCACGAGCCTCTAAGGACTCAGTGTGCACTGGCTGCATCCAAGCTGCTGAAGAAGCCTGACCAGTGCAGAGCTGTCAGCATTTGCGCCCATCTCTTCTGGTCAGGTCGCAGCACTGACAAAAATGGTGAAGAGGTGTGTTGTTTGCTTTATATGCAGATATATACACATGTAGACAGACAGACACAAAGAAAGACAGAGAGAGAGAGAGAGGGAGAAAGTATTTTATTTATCCCCACAGAGAAATCTCAGCATTGCAGCAGCAATTTACACATTACAAAACACACAATTCACAAAAATTATGAAATACATTTAGAGATAAGATACAATAGAACCCCCACAGTGCAAATGACAGGTGCATTTAAAAAGAGAAAGTATTGTATAGATGTATTACAGTGGGCAGGAATGACTTTCTGTAGCAGTTCTTACTACAGCAGAGTTTGAGAGGCCGTCAACTGGAAACACTTTGCAGTTGTAATGTATGCACTCGCTGATTTTTTTTTTAATGCACTTAAATCTGTTTCCACATCTATCATTGCTAACTACTGATGTTCTATATTTAGATCCGTGATGGTAAGCGGGTGATGGAGTGTCTAAAGAAAGCACTGAAGATTGCCAACCAGTGCATGGACCCATCGCTGCAAGTCCAGCTTTTCATCGAAATCCTCAACAGATACGTCTGCTTCTACGAGAGGGAGAATGATGCGGTAGGACACCTGATTATTACACCTGTTCCAAGCCGTGCTGGAATGAACTTTTATGACATGCTTTCAAATGACCAGATTACTGTCCTTTTCATTTTGTAGTTATCTGATTTTCTAAACATCATATATATGAGAAAACTGGGGCCTCATTTATCATCAGTGTGTACGCACAGATGTGTGCGTAATGAGTGCGTATGAACATTCCCACGCAAAGTATGAAATTTATCAACTTCTACTTATACCTAGGAATGTGCATAAATATAAGCATAACTTTAACCATGGTTGTGCACATTATCTAGCAGTAAAATAGTGAAACTACAAATAGAAAGCATTAAGGGATTTTTACCACCAGCATATTCCAGTGTGAGGTTGGAGATATGCTGCATTTCCCAGCCACTGAGCAGGATTGTGCCGGCAGTGTTGGATGCCATAATTCCCCTGGCCACAGCCCACATCCAGTTTCCTTACAGCCATCACCAACAAGCTGAAATCAAAACGGGACATCACGCCATTGCGAGAGGTTACTTGTTTTATAAAAAGGCGTGTTGTTGCCGTAAATGGTCAATTGGAGGCGTTTCTCAAGGGAAATTATCCCGAAAGTGCACGAGCATGGTGGTTAAGAACAAGTGGAATTTACCGACACTGATGTGCGTACAACACACGTATGCATGTTTGATAAATATTTTTTTGTTCTGACACACACTCTAAATTTCATTCGTAAATACAGAATTTAGACCCTTTTGTACACACTGATGATAAATGAGGCCCCTGGTTTCAGCAATGGGTGCAGTGAAAAGAATTATTTCCACAGTTATTTTGGAAAGAGCTTATATCTTGGCCACAGGTTCACATAACTGGGGTTCTCATGAGACTTTGACAGTTCATTACGATCAGGCATTGTGACAATGACCATTAGACTAAGAGATTCATCCTTGTTCTCAGAATGTTTAAATGTAAAATTAGATAAACACTGAAACTGAAATTAAATGTGCCCGGAACAGTTTTCAGTCCCACTCTATTTGAAGGGCTGTGCATAGCACTGACATGAATGAATGAATGAATGAATGAATGAATGAATGAATGAATGAATGCCCTTTATTGTCATTGGACAGTATACAATGAGATGATTATGTCATTAATAGGAGAAGCAGTCTGTCAGTGTTTACTATGTGTTTTAATGATAAGGTACAAATCCTATAACTGCTGTTAATGTTAAAGAAAATATTCATGACACTTGACAATGGTCTCATGACAGTCCATATCAAAACCAACCAGCTATAACAGTTGGATGTGCTGTTAGCACATAAAGCTGAATAGTTTCTTTAATCGTAACATAGACAAGTGCTTTCATTTGATCTGAATACATAAAATCCATGTACATATTTCACTGTAAGCACAAACTCTTACACTGTCTCTCACCTTCTACTCCCCCAGGTGACAGTCCAGGTATTAAACCAGCTGATCCAAAAGATCAGGGAAGATCTTCCCAACTTGGAGGCAAGTGAAGAAACAGAACAGATCAACAAACACTTCCATAATACACTGGAGCATCTTCGTCTGCAGAGGGAATCCCCTGAGTCTGAAGGTCCTGCATATGAGGGCCTTGTCCTTTAAAACAAATGCAGGTTGGAAGTCCTTCCCTAGATGATTCATTATATTAGGAATATATACTGCACATACTCAGAAGAACACACAAAATATCCTGTAGGCCAGGAATAAAAATAAATGTCAAGACCTAAAACTCAGTCTTTGATTTTTTTCTTAATTTCTCTGCATCATTTCCTCTGCACTGTCCCTCGCTTGCAGAACTGTTCTCTGCAACATGTTGGACATGTTAAAAAGCATGTGTCAGCAATACTGCACGTAACTTCTGTGTCATTTGTGGCAAGTCTTAAGCACCATTCCTTTATGAATTCACACTTTACCCGTTTGTCTTTAACCTGAATCATTTTATTGTTGGTAGTAGCTCCACTAGCTGTGATATGTGTATCCACTGAGTTATTTGTCATGATACTGAGAAGTGAATGTATTAGCTGAGTGTACAAAGGCTCAAAATCTAGTAGTGGTCTGCCAGCTTTTTTTCATATGACCTACTTTTCAAATATGAATAATCAGTATCTGCTGTTCTGTAGGATGGCTTGTGGCAAGTTTTAATCAGGTAGTGCCAAACCAAACTGAAGACCAGATTAACGTTCAAGTTTTGCCCACAAGAATGATGCAAACCATGTTGTCCATTTAAAATCCCATGAATGTTTTACAATATAGTATCTTTTATTATTGTTGGACTGTGGGACTGTGACACAGTTAATAAATGTGTAACATTAAGCATTTCCCCCAATACGTCTGCCATCCCAGCTAGACTGCAAAGAAATAACAAATAGCTGTGCAAATATAGTCATTCGTATATATGGAAATGGTCATATTTTTGAAAAGATTCTTTCCCCTCACTCTTTAGCAGAGCTTTTTAATAACATCAAGTTTGTCCCTCCATCTCTATAGACTTCTTATTTTATGTATTAGTTTATTTCAGTAATGGATTTACACATTCAAAACTCCAGTGTGTGTGCAGTGTTAGCATGTTTTAGTGTGCTTGTACCAAAAGGCCCCATTCTCTCTCTCTCTCTCTCTATATATATATATATATACATATATATATATCTCACTAACTACAATGTCTGAATTTGTCATTTTTTTGATCAGTGAAACATTTTGGAATAGTATATTGAGGGGGATGCAGCAGTTCCCCAATCTTGTATCCTGGTTGACAAACTGCTATAGAGTATATATAATAGTGTACAAGGTTTTGGAATTGTTTGCTATGGCATTGGACAGTATCTGTTAATTTCTCTTTCTTGACTCCTGTTGATTTTTTTGGAGAGTATTGACCAGTTTCTTTTCACTTTTAAACGCACTTGTGAATCAGATTAAACAATGCTGATTAAATGGAAATAATCATTGTCATTTACTGAAATAAAATTGAAATTAACAATGCATATTTGCACTTTATTTTATACACAACAAAATAACCATAACCAAAAACACAACCAAATAAAATATAATTATTGATATTTCAAGATGGGCTACAAGGTGGCTCGGTGGTTTGCACTGTGGCCTCGCAGTTAGAAGATCCCTGGTTTGCAACCCGGTTCGGACACCAAGATCTTTCTGCGTGGAGTTTGCATGTTCTCCCTGTAGACAAGATGGATTCTTTCCGGGTTCTCCAGCTTCCTCACACAGTTCAAAAACATGTTGAGGTTAATTGGTGATTCTAAATTGTCCATAGGCGTATATGTGAGTGTCTCTCTGTGTGGCCCTGTGATAGACTGGTGACCTGTCCAGGGTGTCCCCTGCCTTCGCCCTGACTCGGCTGGGATAGACTCCAGCCTCCCCCCGACCCTAGTGAGGGTTAAGCGGTGCATAGGTGATGGCTGGATGGATATTTCAAGGTTCTTTTGTATATTATGGTTTGTGTTATTGTCTCATATGCCCAACTTTACGCCACATATACATGTGCTTTGATTGACCTGAGAAATGAAATGGTTTTACGTGCCACATTAGATTATTTCAATTTGTGGAAGAAAACAACGCTTAGAATAACATGCAAGTTGCCTATCTCTAAATAGTGTTGACGTGGTTACAAAGACTCAGGTGTTTTTCCAAAAACATAGCCTATCCCAGCTGACTTTGGGTGAAGGCAGGGGACACCCTGGACCCAGTCGAGTGCAGAGACACACAGAGAGACAGACAATCACACTCACAGTCATACCTTCAGACAATTTAGAATCAACAACTAACCTCAGCACGTTTTTGGACTGTGGGAGCAAGCCAGAGCACCTGGTGAGAATTCACGCAGGCACAGGGAGAACATGCAAACTCCAGACTGAGATTCAAACCCAGGACCTATAACTGTGAGGTGACAGTGCTAACCTCCATGCCACCAAAGTTTAATCCAACAGTAAAATTTTTTTAAAAAGACATTCTAAATACAGGTGATAAATGACAGATAGACCACAAGTGGATAAGTCTTTTCAGTGGGTGTAAGTGGTTTATCATATTAATCCAAAGTCTGTCGCTTTTAAGGCTACTTATTTTTGTCAACCTCAGACTCACTTAGAAATTACATTTCGCGTCAATTTCGTTTTTAAAGTTGTTTCAGCTGCACCACAGTTATCCTCACTCAGGAATGTTCACATAATGTTCAACATGATGCTTTAACCAGGACAGGAATTTTGAATCAGTGCGACTGATCACAATATGACAAATGACTGTTTATTGATCAGTCAGTATCAGAAACTCCATACAGATTTCTTTTATTTAAAAGGTAACTACTACAGTAATGTACAGTAAACATTTCAGTAGAGGGGAACTGGTTGATAACAGCTGCCTTAAATTTCTACAATAATTACATATTTGTCATGAAAATGGTCATGTTGTAGTCCTTAGGTAGCAATCTGGCATTTACCCGTAATTTCAATGTGCCTAAAAATTCAGCAAGGACTTCAGCAACTGAATCCTTTCTGTATGAATGAGAAATGAAACGGTTTCTCAGACAACTCCTTTGGGCTCAGCAGGAGAGGAGTCAGGAAGTTAGGGGGGGTGTTCCAATAGCCATACTACCATAGTATGATTACAGGTATACAAGTCCTGTTTTGCTAGGTTTAATTCTGTTTGATAGTTCTACATATTTAACCATTGTTTCATCAGGAAAAGGCAATGCAGAGCAAAAGGTGACACTGAGTCCTGGCTGATGAAAGACTGGTCCTTCTCACAGCGCACTTTGTAGTTTGCTTTTTTTTTTTTTTTTTTTTTTTAAATCTGGTGTCTTAAATATTCCGTAGCATATTCATTTTTAGGCATGCTTGGTATGAACAGGACAGACATGTGGTCACTCAGAATATTTCCATTGTGATGGGTTCAGTCTGGACATGTCAGAAATCAACAGCATTGCCAAACATCACAGCCTCCTTTGGCCAGTTTCAGTTAGTTATGGCAATTTATCACAATATATAACCTTTCTGATAAATTGGTCCTAAAGCCATTATTCAACTGATTTAAGTAACTGGCTAATCCTCAAAGTCGCGCATATATTTACTACATATAGGAAAACTGCTTTTTGTGCTGCACACATCTGGAACAATTTACAAGAAACATTAAACCTAACACAACAAGTTGTGGGCCAGTTTCAGACCATGATCACAAACTACCGCACCCTTGATTGTCACAGGTTTTAACTGCTGTTAGTTTCTCATTATTTATTGCCCTGTTTATTCTGTTTGATTGTACTCTCAACATTATTGAAAATTAAGGCATGCCCTCAATGATTCATTGAGATATAAAGGTTTGATTTAACTGAAGACCCAGTGGATTACCACAACAGTAGGAAAATCCTTGCTGTTACAACTGTTGAAACTGTAATGTTAAAAGACATTCAAAAGAAGTGAAAACTTTAAAACCAATTTGATAGCAATAGAGTGTGGGTGGGTTATTGTGTTTTCTTGTCACTTAATCTGCTTCAGTGCAACCTAAATGTAGCCACTGTTTACATCTTGTTGCTCTCTGTGTTCACATATACTGCATTTCAATACAGCAGAAAAAAAGTTGTAATTTACATATTTTTCTGTTTCTGTTGTCAGGCATCAGAACAAGTATAAAATAGTGACTGAAATGCAGTTCATTAAGACTACATGTTAACCAGCAATCACTTCCGAGCCATTTCCAAGCTGTAGCTCTGCAGCTAAACGTCTGATTTTGAAAGTGTAGGATCATCTGACAAGTTACTGTGTACATTAGTTATACAGAAAAGCTGCGCTGTGCAGGGACGTGCTCAGGATTTTTTAGGGGCAGTTGCTCAAACCTGAAAAAAGGGCAACTCCCCCCCCTGAAAAAATAGGTATGATAGGCATGTTTTTGACAGAGAGGATGTCTGTAATGTAATTGTAAACAAGCACAGCAAGCAGCACACAGCAAGCTATCTACAATAGAGTCAATGTAGTCAATGCTGCTCCAAATTAGGAACTTCTTCAGGGCAGGGATTAGCTTCTGTCCAATCACACATTATTCTTAAGTTATTATATGGTAGAAGCAGTAGTATGTTGTTTTGCTTCTACAAGAAATGTGACTAAAGGTCTACAACACACTTTTAGTATTTCAATATTTGCATGTGATTAGTTGTTTGGCCTTCCCTACCATCAAGTGACCTGTCTTGCTCTTCTTCACCTGCAACTTGTTGCCCCTCATCTTAAGTGGATATAAATATTTGCTATTAGAAGACGAAAAAAGGAAATAGTCCATGAAAAAGGACATATGGGTGGTTGACAAATAACCTGATATTGACTGTTCGCATGTCACACAGACTGATAAAAAACCTTTTTTATGAGTACATATTTAAATCATTTAAATATGCACTCATAAAAAATATTTTTATGACAAGTCATATTTATGACAATAACATCAAAGATGTGAGTGTTTAAAGATTTTTACTGAGAATTTTCAGAATTTCATACATTTTGATATATGTATTAACATACATCTGGTGTGACTGTCCAGCATATGTGTACCCTCAGAAATAAGAGCATAATTTCCATATGATTTATAAATATTTAACTGGGGTTTCTCGTGTTCACCATATCTACTGTAATTTACACTGTGCTAACTGTCAGGCTAGTTATGTTAAGCATAACTGCTGCTAAAACATCAAAAATTAAGTTGTGAAAAACCAAGATACTGTCACACCAAAACATACAAAATGTGAATATTAAGGTACCCAAACATCAAAAACCTGAATATTACCAAAAATGTAAAAATCTGGACACAAACTAATCAAAACC